AAAATATGTGGCTTAACTAACTAATGAATGAATATTTGCTGTCAAATTCTTATCAAAGCTATAAGTGTAACTACCAGTTTGGCCACTAATTTTGATTTCATTCCTTTAAGTTGCACGCTCACTCCTTTTTTGGCTGCACCTTTTTCTCACACCTGAGGTGTTTTTGATTAGATACATATATGCGAAAGTCTGCATTACTCAGTAATGTAGTGATCTATTGAAAAGCAAAGTGTCTTGAACAAGTATTCTGCAATTTCATCTGTTTTGTAACATACATTTATAATAAAACATAAAATGTTATGTTTGTAATAGGCTTAAAGAATATATATGTAAAACACAGAATTTACTGAATAAACTTGTCTTCCTATCACATAGAAATGTATAGTTCATTTGAAGCAATGAATAATAAATTAGTTGCTCTAAAACTACACTGTATTTTAAATAAAACCTCCTTTTGATTTATTACAGCATAATCAAAACTGAACAAATTGTTATTGTTGTTATACGTGCTTTTAATAAAGTCTCATATTACAGTGTTTTCTTTTGATTATCAGTAGATCAAAAATCGACTTGAAATCTGATCAAAACAACCTTCTTGAAGGGTCCAAAATAATCCATCAGAATGGTATACGAGAGGAAGTCCACAGTCACCCTGTTATGGCAAAGGAAGTATCTTCAGGTGAAACCAGTCCAGTCACAAAGTTGCCTGCTCACTCACTTAGCTTCACAGAAGAAGTTAAAGCTGCAGTTCGGGAGAGACAGGCAAAAAGTTAGTGATCCTCAGAAGGTGTAATACTGTATTATAATGTGTGTCTAGAAAGTTATGTATAGATATAGTTTCCTGTGTATATGGTTACTGTTAGTGTTTATTTGCTGTTATTAACTAACATAAAGGTAAATGAAAACATTGTTAGGGAGAAATCAGGGAACTATTCACTTACAGAATTGAGGAAATTTAATTTAAAAGAACATTTTGATGGAAGTTATGAAGTACAATTATTCAATCACACAATGATCATTGTTTTTGTTATTTTCAGAATATTTTGAATACTTCGATTGCTAAAATGTGAATTACTTTATTGATAATTGCCATTTTGCTGTAAAATGCAAAAAAATCATGTGTGTTTGAGATTTCTGCAGTATATTTATCCACTTTACATTATATTGTTACTGTTAATAGTTATCAATATGCTGACAGCCAGAATTATCCTACTTCATCCCAGTTGGTTCTTGTATTCACCTGTGAAAGTAAAGTTTTGTATTAGTTGCTTGAACCAACACATATTTTCTGCCTTTAAGACATAAATGGCATGTTATATACTTAGAAATGATGATGTGTCTTGTTTTAGGATCCAGAAAAATAAAAGGCATAGCACCAGGTTAAATTCAACCGATTGCTTACACAACAAATGAAAATGTATAAGATATATTTCATTGAAAGTTAGACATCATACAATTATTTTTTTTTGTCATTAGTTCATGAAAGAGAGCATTACATCCATACACAGCACCCATTATATGGTTAAATAACTTCTCTGCACTATCTTATAACAATTAATGTTTTCACAGAGTAGTATCGGTGCTTTGTAGCATCAGTTTTATATTGAATAACAGTAATACAAAATATCTTAGGCTAAAAAGTGTCAATATGGCAGTGTAACAATTTTTTGAGTATTTTTTTGAATGTAGTGATTCATCAAGAGAAAACAAATTTTTGATGTACTTTTAAGTTTTAAAATTTTAAAACATTTATTTCAGGATATGAGCCTGTGAAGTACATGAGGTATTTAACAAGCATTGATTAATACATAATCACTGCGTTGTCATGAGTAAGGATAAAAAAATGATGTGAGCAAAATATTAAATTTCATTTGTTTATTAGCTGCTTAACTTTATATCAAAAATACCAAGTGCATGTTCTTGATTTAATACTTTTTGGTGTAAGGATAACAGAAAATATCTTTCTAAGGTTTTGCTGATACACAAATTGGTTAAATGAATTCTGTAATGTTTCAGTGAGACAGAAAATGGAACATGAGATCCAAATGGTCCAGCATAGGAACATGGAGAACAACCTTCAGAGGCAAGTGAGACAGCAACATCATGTGGAGAGTTCCACGGCCAATACCAACCTTCGAACACAACCTGCACAGTATTCCTCCAAACCAACGGGTCTTCCGTCTACATCACCTGTAGTTGCTAGCAGTGGTGGTGGTGGCATGACTCAGAAACATGTCACCTCAATAGCAGGTGGTGTAAAACATGGTGCTGCTCCATCTAGTAGGATTCCAATTACTGGACAGTTGGGGCAGAAACATGCTTCAGACATGACAGGTCAGGCACGGGTTTTGTCACCAAGCCCTGGACCTGTCAGTTCTACCGTACAAAAACTGCCTGGTCAGCGGAAAGATGGTATAGTATTACTTTCACAACGCTCCATCGATTCCTCTACTGCCACCTCCCAAAAAAAAAGTGAGTTTGCCATTCTCGTTAAATTATGCTGAATAGACTTTGTTTGGTTCATCTTATATAAAAAGATAATATTAAAAGTTCATATTGATAACTATCACTTCATTTACTAACACATATAATTTCTAATGGTCACATTGTTCAATGAACATTAAATCTACAACAATACTTGAAATTAAAAATTAATGTTTATATGTTATGCGAGTAATGTGTACTCGTATCTTTAATGTTATAACAGTATTTGCTAGAATATTTAATATACCTAGTTTTATTATTTTTAATTTATATTTCTTATAATTATGCTTTTATTGTAGAGATTGTTTTGCATTATTACATTTTGCATATGGATTTAAGACTAACCACTGTCTCCTAAGCTGACCAAACCTTGTGAGATATTTTTGGGTTTCCAGCAAAGGTACACTTGTTGAAACAATCAGGGTGCATACACATCTTTGCAATTGAGAATGGAATTTCAAGGGCTTGAAAAGGGGCCTTTTTTGCAAAAGTACTTGAAAAGGTTATAATAGCAGAACATATTGATATATCTTGCTTTAATGAATGTTGCCGAGTTGAATGGAGGAAATAAGATCTCTCTTTTCTTTTTAGTCTATAGTCAACTGTTGAACAAATAAATAAGAATTTTATAAAATTTCAGTGGAATCTGATTGATTTTGATGGAGATTTTAGCTTCCAAAAAAGTGCTTGAAAAACATTCTGAAAGTGCTTAGAAAGTCCTTGAAAAGTGCTTGAAATTGATCTGAGCAATTCAGTATGAACCATGAACAGTACATTCTAATGTTTATAAGTAAGAACAGTATATTTAATTAGCTATATATGTTACTGGGTTGATTTTTAGATTCACACTGTCATTAGGTAGCTGAGTTTTCTATGACTTAACATAGAGAATTTTTTATTATTTTTCATGTTTTTTTTTTGTAAGATAAAAGTGTTCCAGTATAGCCTTTAAATCCTTCACTGTTTTGTAAACTAAGTGCATTTTAATATAATTATTAATTAGTTTTTACTTCTGCCTTTTTATGGAAAATATTCATTTTTAGCAGAATCAAAACAATGGAGTTCACCAAGAAGTGGAGAAGAAAGTTTGCCAAAGGTACCTAGCACAGACTCATTATCTGACTATGGGGTAAATGCCTGCTTTGCTTTATACTAATTTAACTATGCTTGGTGCCTCTGGCTTCAGCTTTTACTAAATTTTGTTTTTTGGTATTAACTTTTGCTCGTATGTATATGTGAAAAATTCTGAAAAATAAAATTAACTTTTTTCATCATGAGATTAAAAAGTTTAGTTTAATGTTTATTACTAATCCCATATTTTTCATTTCAAGTCTAACAACTACTTTTGTACTTTAGTTATTTTTTTCTTATCAACACCTGCTTGTAAATATTCGAATGTTTTAACAGATTATGTGTGTAAACTGCTGGATGTGGAACTTTAATGTTATCTAATTTTCACACATATTGCATTTAAACTGCTAAGTATTGTACTTGGGTGTTATCAGGCCTTTACATATGGTGTTTAGACTGCTAGATATAATACTTGAGTGTTATCAGATTGTGTTTAAACTGCTAGGTATGATACTTAAGTGTTATATTTTCACACCTTGTGTTTAAACTGCTAGATATGATACTTGAATGTTATATCTTCACACACTGTGTTTAGACTGTTGGGTATGATACTTGAGTGTTATCAGATTGTGTTTAAGATACTAAGTTTAGTACTTAAGTGTTATCAGATCTTCACACACATTGGGTTTAGACTGCTAGATATGATAAGTGAGTGTTATCATATCTTCACACATTGTGCTTAGACTGCTAAGTATGGTATTTGAATGTTATCAGATCCTTATACAATATAATCCCTACAAAGTGAATCAGTTAGTGAGAAACTTTCAAAAAATCTTTATAATCCTTGAAATGTGAATCAGTTAGGGAGAAACTTTCAAAAAATCTTTATAATCCTTGAAATGTGAACCAGTTAATGAAAAACTTTCAAAAAAATCTTTATAATCCTTGAAATGTGAACCAGTTAGTGAGAAACTTTCAAAAAATCTTTATAATCCTTGAAATGTGAACCAGTTAGGGATAAACTTTCAAAAAATCTTTATAATCCTTGACATGTGAATCAATTAGGGAGAAACTTTAAAAAAATCTTTATAATCCTTAAAATGTGAACCAGTTAGGGAGAAACTTTAAAAAATCTTTATAATCCTTGAAATGTGAACCAGTTAATGAGAAACTTTCAAAAAAATCTTTATAATCCTTGAAATGTGAACCAGTTAGGGAGAAACTTTAAAAAAATCTCTATAATCCTTGAAATGTGAACCAGTTAACGAGAAACTTTCAAAAAATCTTTACAATCCTTGGAATGTGAACCAGTTAGTGAGAAACTTTCAAAAAATCTTTATAATCCTTGAAATGTGAACCAGTTAGGGAGAAACTTTCAAAAAATCTTTATAATCCTTGGAATGTGAACCATTTAGGGAGAAACTTTCAAAAAATCTTTATAATCCTTGGGATGTGAACCAGTTAGGGAGAAACTTTCAAAAGCTCTAGGTAATCCTTAGAAAGTAAATTAATTAGTGTGAAACTTTCAAAAGCTCTAGGTAATTCTTAGAAAGTGAATCAGTTAGTGTGAAACTTTCAAAAGCTTTATGTAATCCATGAAAAGCAGTTATATAATTTGTTATTGAACACCTAAGCATCAAGATTATTATAAGATATAGAAATTCGTAATTGATAAAACATCTGCATGCTATTCCAGTTGCAGCTTCCTATTTAATTAAGTGGTATTTGTAAATTACCAGTGATTTTATAAACATCAAGAATCTAAGTAATGCACATGTTAAAAGAAAAACCAATGTTTAATGGTAGCTAATAAATATTTAAAAATGCCACTGTCCTCTCTCTCAAAATACCATAAACATTTACTCACTAATTTACTGTATAAAGATAAAAACTGTGAGGCTGGGAACAGTCTCACACACGTCAACATGTTTCAACATCATATTTCATCATCATCAGGAGTGTCTGTGTATAGTAAATTAATGTGTAAATGTTTTACTGTATTTTTAGACTGGGGACAGTCTCAATTTTAAATACTTATTGTATACCTTTAAATGTTGGTTTTATTTTAACATCTATAAAATTTGCACAAGTGTCATCTTAAACCTAATCAAGAATCTAAACTGTTATTTGTCAACAAAAATCACTGGACCAATTGTCACTAAATCTGGCATTTACCATTAGGCTTCCCAGGGAGAGTAATAAAGGTGGGTTAGCATTTGGATCCCCCCCCCCCCCACACACACACACAGTGTCACCTTATGTAAGTATGTTATCCTCTGTGTAGACCCTTTGTGTTAGCTGCCATCTACTATCCAATGTATTTTGAAATTGCATAGAATGACAACACGAGTTTTGTCCAGTTTAGTAATAAGTGTAAACTATATAATAAACTCCACTTACTTTCATATTAGCACCCTTTAATTCTTAGTTTTACATTCACTTGACAAATAAGTTATACTTTTGATAATAACATAACTTTTTGGGACAACATGGGACCTATTGGTCCACCTCGACTGTTCCATTCTATAAACTAAATTAAAGTAATTAAAAAAAAACCTTAAAGCCAGCCCTTATCATTCATATACATAGTTAAGCTTTTTCTTAAACTCACTTAAATTTACTGTCTCTACAATATCCGAAGGCAACCCATTCCAAAGGCCAATCACCCTGTTAGAAAAATGAAACTGTCAAAACTAAAGATGACTCCTTGCCTAAATTTATATTTGTGTCCCCTAGTCCTACTATTCTCACTGTTAAATATGAATAAAGATTATGCATCAACATTATCAATTCCCTTTACAATCTTAAACACCTCAATCAGATCCCCCCAACTCTTAATTTTTCCAGAGAAAACAGTTTGAGAAATTTCAGCCTCTCCTCATATGACAACCCCTCCATCCCAGG